TGGATAAAGCTGGGCGTTATCTCTCTCCTTTGCATCTGTTTCTATCAACAGATTCTTATGAAGGAACAAATAGCCATATAGAAGGAAAGGAATCAAAGCATCCAGTTTCTAAGTTAGTGGAGGATATCCAATGGCCTGAGATGAGACATGGTGGTCCTAAGGGAGTTGGATTTAGGTTCAACATCAGTGCCCGAGTTGCTGATGGGGAGAGCTGTTTCTGGCATAGCAAGTTCTATAAGCTTTCCTGAATCCCTGTAAAGGTAAAATGGCATACCCAAGGGAACATGTCAGTGTGTGAGTGTAAAGTGATAGGATTATGTGTTAAGCGGGACCTAGTTTGGCGTGAAGCAACCATGAATAAGAATGAGCCTAGCCTGAGTGGGGAAGCAGAGTCTTCCACACCCTGTGCTCAGAAACAGGGCCAGGTGCACTTCAGTACCTTGGAGCTTCTAAACTTGCTCTGAAATTCTCAAACCCTGGGTTCAGTTGGCAGCACCATGCAGAGGCAGCAGCCCAGAGAAAGGGTCAACCTCAAGGGAAATGGCCAAGCATTTCATTTTCCCCAGTTGCCACAGTTATTCATTATCAGATTCCTTTCTAAAGATCCCCCCCCCAACCTCTGGGAGTTAGGGAACTCCAGAAGGACAGCTTTGTCAGGATCACTAGGACAAGGGCTGGACACCAGATGATCTGGACACCAGCGTAAAGGAGACCTGATTTTGCACCATAGGCTGGTGAAGTGGGTTGAATCTTCACCAGAATTTTTATGCAAATCTTGGTGACTGCCTAGGTCACCTTGTGGACCCTTAAGGTGGTGATATTTTCGTTCACAGTGAAAGGATGGAGTTTATGGGAAGCAGAATGCAATTAAAACTCATATCCGCTATTCTGCTGCTCAACTGATGCCTTATTAAAAATGTGTGCTCGTGGCCAAGCAAGTAGGAGGTGCGCTCTCGGCTGTCAGGCAGAGAAGAGAGTGCCGTGCCCTGGATCCATCTTTAAAGGCCTGCACACTCAGATCCCTGGTCCTCGGGGAGGGAGTCGTTTACATTCTCTTCCCACATGACAATCAAAATCACACCCCAGACTTCACTTTTCTCACTTCTCCTACACAAGGGCTCATGGTTGGGCATAAGATAATGAGGACAGGCTCTATCACCCACAGTGTGGCAAGATAAGATGTAGCATAGTCAGAAGAAATTATTTTAGGGTCCCCCCTCCCCCAGAATTTTCACTGGTGACTCAATTCATCCTTTATATGGCTAAATGGGTGATATCAGATATGGAATCCTCAGATGCCCTACGTTTTAATTTAGTGCTCTGACTTCATTTCTGGAATAGGTATACTATTAAATGTCTCCATGCCTCTGTTTCCTTGAAGGGAAATTTCAACTGTAATTTATGGCACCAAACTGTAAAGAACATCAAATTAATGTGAAGTCTTTACTGAAGTTCAGTGGAGACTGGCATCCTTCTCTAACCTGACTAGCATCAGTCTCTCTGATGCTTTGTCAACAGTCACTCTTAGTAAATTGTATCAAAACATAATTGTATCAAATGAATCAAAGTTTATCAAATGTATCAAATCCTAATTTTAGGACTGTTTAAAAAAATCTCACCCATTTTTATGTGTACAATCACAGTCACTCAATCTTCCTCAGAGTTCTATGTATTAAACCTCAATGGCTCAATCAACTAATGGATTTCTTAGATTGGCTCACAAAACTCATCCTATGCCTCATGTAATTCTTACTGTTTTTAGTTCTGTCTTCAAAATGATAATCATTCACCTTGAAGACATCAGGTGTATGCTTTACAAGAGAACATAAAAATGCCTGGAGCCAATGAGGATTATAGAAAGTCTAAATCAAAAAAGAATGAACAGTTAGCGAATGGCATTGAACTACAGAAAAAAGGAAGGAGGAGGAGAGAGGGGGGGATAAGGGGAGGAGGAAGAAAATGATGACAAAGTACTAAGCAACTTTTCTTTGGGCTAACAGTAAATTCAAAGGTATA